ACAAAAAACTAGAAAAGAAATATCATATGGTTCATCCACCATACAGCAAAAACATAAAAACAAATGTAGGAAAAATATTCTTCAAACTTTTACACAAACACTTCCCGGAATCAAACACCCTACACAAAATATTCAACAAAAACACAGTAAAAATCAGCTACAGGTGCATCAAGAACATGGCACAAATAATAAAAAAGCACAACAGGAAAACTATCAACAAACCACATGAACTAATTAAACCCACATGTAACTGCAGAATAAAGAACGAACGTCCCTTAAATGGTAATTGCTTACAAAACTACGTAATATACCAAGCCACAATAAAATCACTAGATAATGAAGAAAAAGTATACATAGGAGTAACTGAAGGACCCTGGAAACTAAGAAATTATGCACGCAAAACATCTTTCACAAATAATAAATATGCAAACAGCACAATGCTTTCTAAGTATATCTGGGAAATTAAAAACAAAACACACATCACATCAAAAATATCTTGGAAAATAAGGAAAAGATCATCAGCCTACAACAACCAATCCAAAACTTGAAAACTTTGCTTGGCGGAAAAAATAGCTATCATTACCTTCCCAGACCAAAATAAATTATTTAATAAACGATCCAAGCTCATCTCAAAATACACACATGAAAACAAATTTTTACTACATTACTTAAAAATCAAAAACTGCTAAAATAAAAAATAAGAAAATAAATGAATAAATAAAATAAAATAAATAAACAAAATAACAATAAAATAAGCAAACTAAATTAATCCAAATCACACCCGTTAGAATAGATGAAATAGAATAAATAAATAAAAGATAAAAAACAAAATCAATGAACCCAAATAAATAAAGTAAATAATAAACAAATTAAGAAACCATTATGACCAAAATATTAGACTATAAAAATCAAACCAAAAATTGGATGAAAAACATAGCTATAACTGTTATATAACAATAAAAAAATACTACGTTACTTAAAAATCAAAAACCAAAAAGAGTAAATAAAAATATACAGTATAATAAATAAATAATAAAAAAACAAGTAAAATGAATTAATCTAAATTAATCCAAATAAATAAATGAATAAACTAACAAACTGATCCCAATAAATTAACCAAACAACAAACTTTTTGAAAGAGCAGGAGAATATTGAATAGAGGTCAGCTCTGAGAAAATAATGGTGAATAGCACAAACAGTAACACTTGTGTCAACATTACCATAAATGGGAATTCACTGGAGGAAGTGTCCAGTTTTAAATACTTGGGAGCAATCTTGTCTAAAGATGGTACCTGCAACTCGGAAATCTGAACACAGATTGCTGCAGCCATGGCAGTGATGGCCAAATTGACAAGAATATGGTTGGGAAAAATCAGCTTTCGAACGAAGTACAGACTGTACAAATCGCTAATAGTCTCAGCGTGGTGTAATGGTTAGCAAGTTTGTCTTACTAGATCAATTACAACTGAGTCGTGAGTTCGATCCTCACTGGATGCCCCATACTTTCGGCCTTGTGCCACATCTAAGCTACGCTTGAAAATCGCTAATAGTCTCCATTCTCCTATATAGGTGTGAAAGGTGGATACTGTTGGCAGAAACAGAGAGAAGGATCCAAGCATTTGAGAACAAATACATGAGAAAACTCTTTGGCATCTTCTTCTGGGAACATGAAGCCAATGAGTTTGTGTAGAAAAGGGTTGAAAGTTTTTTGCGCCACCAGGAACCTCTTCTCACCACTGTTAAACAGAGAAAAACTGCAACTGAAAGAGCATGCCAATTTTAACTTGGGTACAATATGTATATGGTAAATGTATGGTACATGTATAATAAAATTCTTAAAGTCTTCATTTATATTGTGATGGAGCAACACTCATATCAGTGCATTATGGGTGAGTTTTATACAGCGATTCATTTTTTTTTATCATTTCACCCCAGGCAAGGCAATAAAGCCACAGGGTTAGAGAATATGAGAAAAAAAAACTATTAAAGAGAGAGAACAATAAGAATTAAGAATTAAAAAGACAGATGATAATGATTGACATTGCATTTAAATTTTTGAAGATCAAAGTTGGCTGGAAAGCAAGAAACCAGAATTGAGTTCCACAAGCGAGAAGTGCAATAGAGGAAACTGTTAGCATAGAACTTACAATTACATCTTGCCAGTTCAATTGTAAAATGATGAGACCTTGCTGTCAATCTAGTATGATGTTTAAATTCATAAAGTCTAGGCTCCTTAGAGGAAAGTTCATCCAAACAATTAGAATGAAAGTATTTATAGAAAAGGCATTTTATTTCTTTTATAAATGGCTGGGCATGTTTAGCTGATTCCATTCACTTTCTTTATACTTTTCTTTTTTATTATTAAAGAAACTGTTAGCATAGAACTTATGATTACATCTAGCCATTTCAATTGTAAAATGATGAGACCTTGCCGCCAATCTAGTACGATGCTTAGATTCATAAAGTTTAGACACATTAAGGAAAGTTCATCGAAACAATTAGCATGAAAGTATTTGTAGAAAAGGCAGAGGGAGGCTATGCTATGGCGGTGGAAAATGGAACTGAAGCTGAAATGCCAGGTCAGGACCAATAACATTGCAGATTCTTCTTTGGCTTTTATCAAGAGTCTCTAAATATATAGCAGGAGCATGAAACCAGCTGTGGCAACAATAGTCAAAGCATGGACAAATGGTAGACTTATAAATATGAAAGATAGATTCTAGTGAGGAAAATTGTCTAGCACAACACAGTGAACCAACTTTCCTAGCAGCAGACTTAGCAATTGATTCAATATAATCTTTTGATTTCATGCTAGCAGAAAATGTTAGTCTGAGAAGGTGCAATGAGTCACTTTCATGAAGGTTAGCATTAGCCATGCTGACTGAAGGTAAAATGGGTTCTCTCAGATGGTTAAAAGAGAGCAATAATAATTTTGCAATTAGTATAGTGAAAGAGTCCAGTGCAAGCAAGTATCATGTCACAGAAATATATATGTGCTTTTCTAGTTTAATTATTGTCATTTAAGAGGGGCTGGATTATGGTCATTCAAGAGGTTGGTCATCTTGAACTGTTCTGTGCATTGGTTTCAATGTTAAGAACAGTGTTCAAATGAACACTTCTACGCTTATAGATCAGGTTCTTGATGACCACATAATAGAAAAACTTGTCAAAAGTAATGCATTGTAAAGGCAGAAGTTGAACAAATCAGAACAAATGTGGCCACAGGGTTGGGAGTCATTTACCTGTAGAATTACTACAGGCATGGATCTGTAGTAATTTCAGTCTCTATTACTTCAAGTTGCCTCTCAACGTATGCCACAATCCATTTCACCACCTGAGAATTCCTGTTGTTACAGTTTCAGTGAACATCATTAAGCTCTGAATAATATAACCCAGACTCTCAAATTGACTGCATCCAAATGTTGAATTATAAATAATTTCCGTTTTTGTTTATCAACTTTTTTCTTAAAGAAATAAGTACAATTGCATTTTATCTCTATCTATAAAAGGCAGGATATGTTTAATGAATGCATGGCTGCAATTTTCGATGAATTTGCACCAAAATTTACATGCACATGCTCCAAGTTAGCCAAGGCCAAAACCGACTTTGCATTTCCCAACTCCCATCGATAATGGAAATAATTGATTTTTTCATGCTTCTACAACAGTTTTCATGTAGTTTGCAGCCATTTTCTACTGGCCAGAGTGAGAGCCTATAGCTGGCTGCCACGAATAGGCAGGAAGATTCTATTGGCCAGCATGAGAGCCAACAGCTGACTGACATAAATGTTAACTAGCATGCTATCATGCAAAAAAATCGATAGCTGCATTCATCACAAGTGGGAAAAATTTAAATCTACATGGCACTTTACTCCAATTGGCTCATTCGCTTGCTTAAACTCAACATTGATTCTGATTCCACAGAACTGGGTTGGGTGTGAAAAGTATTTGTTGTTAACGTTCTTTTTTTATTCAGTCCTTTTTTAAAGCTGATCATTTTGTGTTCATTTTGTTTAGTTCTTTTTTCATAACAGATTTAATGTTTAGTATAGAGCTTAGAAAAAATTTGCAGTGTGAGAAGTAAGGCATGTAACAACATCAGCACGGCAATGGGCACTCCTTTAAAGGCAAGGAAGGGCAAAAATATTTTAAGTCAAGTGATAGCGATTGCTGTATAAGTCGTATGATTTTTGAATCAAGCACAGGCAACACCGGGTCATGCTGCTAGTTCAGTTATATATTCACCATTATTTGCAATGACTTGCAAATGTGAAAAAGTTTTCAATGAACTCTTGAACCAGGTTTCCATTAGAGAAAGTTTTCCCTATCAAAGCATTTTGCAGTGATCAAAATAAGGTAATAATCAGTTGGTGCCAGATCAGGTGAATATGGTCGGTTGGGTAAAATGGACCACTTGACTTCAAAATTTATTTCCTATATTATTCTTGCTATATGTGGCCTTGCATTGCCATGAAACATTTTTTTACTATTGATGAATACAGGGTGTTCTTCAATCAAACTTTTATGGACATTTTGCAGCTGCTGAACATATAAATGTACATTTATATTTTTTTACTGTATTTTAAAAACTGTAAATGAATAATACATATGATTGATCCTACCACATACACATTACCTTTCTTCCATGGAACTCAGCTTCGGGATCGGTTGTGGAGATTTATTTCTGAAAATCCATTGCCTTTTGTGTCAAATACTGTCACATATCACCCATTTTTCATCCCCTGTTATGATATATTAAAGGAATGATTTTTTTTTAGGATGATACAAATGGAAATTGCTTATGACTCAATATAAGAGAACCTCACGTTTCTTAGTCACAGTGACATAGATATGTTGAGTGAGTTCATGATTTATTGATTGGCTGTTTAAAAAGCATCGAACATGAAGCACTGTTTTGATTGGATAAATATTTTGCTACTGCCCACATAGACAAGGCAAATAATATCTATTTACATTAAAGCACTATAAAGTATCCTTCAATGGTCAGTCATTATACATGAATTCTGAATTGATCATAAAAAAAGTTATATACATTATCAAGTGGTAAATATAAAAAAGACTTCTATTATATGGCACGTCTCTTCAGGATGTAGACGATCATGGCTCTCTACAATTTCCCATCTATTGAAGCATTAAGCAATGTTTGTCCCGTTATTATCCCTGCCTGTTCATGTTCTGCTATCCATTTTCAAAAGTCCATTAGGTATGTTACTTCCTGTTTCCTTCTGCCCTTCTTTGCCTTCAAAATGTCCTGTGCTTGTTAAATTCTCCAAGTCCCTTTTCCTCACTATAGGACCCAGAAATTTCAGTGGTTTCTTTCTGGTTCTGAAATGTCCTTTTTATTCCCATGTTCCTTAAAAATTCATCATTGCTCACATGTTCAGTCCTCATTATATGTCCCAGAAATTTCAACTGTTTCTTTCTGATCCTAAGCAAAAGTGACCTTTTTGTTCCAATTTTTCTTAAAGCTTTCTTATTGTTCACATGTTTCATCTATATTATTCTCAGTTTTCTTCTGTAGAACTATGTCTCCATTGCCTCAAGTTTCTTCTTCATTTGTGAGGAGATTGGCCATCATTAACTATCATATAAGAGGATTGATATTATGTAGCAGTTCAGTACTCTTTTCTCTGTTTCAAACAAAATTTTCCTTTTTCTTAATATATTTCTCAATTTCTGGAAGGCATCTTCATAATTTACAAGTATATTTTTAGAATAGACGATCATGACTTTCCATGACTTCCTATCTATTGTAATACTAAGCAATATTTGAACTCTTACTATCACTCACAGTCCCTATTCTGCCATCCATTTACACAAGCTTGTTAGGTATGTTATTTGTTGTTTATCATGATGTTTCAGTCAATTTATTCTTGACCTTCCTCAGGTATACAGTTAATATTGAATGAAGTGGTCATTTTCATTCCAAGAATTGTTGGACTGTTGATAGCATTAGTTCATTTACTTTTGTTATCATCACAATGTTTCAGTCAATTTATTCTTGACCTTCTTCAGATATACAGTCAGTATTGAAAGAAATGTTCATTTTCATTCCAAGAATTGTTGGAATTTTGATATTGTTCCAAGAGTTCTTTTGATTATTGATGTTCTCCCACGAATTGTTTGAACTACTGATATTGTCTCAAGAGTTCTTTGTACTATTGATATTGTTCCAAGAATTCTTTGGATCATTGATATTGTTCCAAGAGTTCTTTGAATTATTGATATTGTTCCAAGACTTCTTTGAATTATTGATATTGTCCCAAGAATTCTTTGGATTATTGATATTGTTCCAAGACTTCTTTGTATTATTGATATTGTTCCAAGAATTCTTTGGATTATTGATATTGTTCCAAGAATTCTTTGGATTATTGATATTGTTCCAAGAGTTCTTTGGATTATTGATGTTGTTCCAAGAATTCTTTGGATTATTTATATTGTTCAAATAGTTCTTTGAACCATTGATATTGTTATGAGTGTTGGTTTTCTTTTTACCCCAAAATCTATCCTGATCAATTCCATAACCTTAAAATGTACTGTCAATATAGAAAGAGGAGTAGAACTATCCAAGAAACTTTAGCCAACTGAAGAAACTTGATTCTGTTCTACTCATCCCATTATGCCAAATCTCATCGCCATAACACAAGTGATGCCCTATTTTACAGAACTGTGGTGCTCCCTTCTCTGTGACTTGGACCTTCTGCTAGAAAGGATAATATAATACTTTTTCCTCACAGATTTGATTGGTTATATCTGATCATTATCTTCATTTTTTGATATTGCCTTTCTATTAAGTGCAAGTCTACTTTTCAGGATCTGGCTGGTTTCTCTTTAATAATATTCTCTATCTTGGATGTTATAAATGACATTTTTTAAATTAGTCTTATATTAATCTTTATTTTTATTGGTATTTTTATTATTATTATTGTTCATATATATAGACATTTATAGTCTGGTTGATTTAGAATGAATATAAGGTGTACCTGGAAAAAAAATGTTGTCAAGACATATTTTATATCAACCTGCAAGAAAATAAAACTTCTCTCTCATTCATCTTGGGGAATTATTTTATGGCTGTTTTTATGAACATCAATTTATTTACCAAGAATTTTGAATTTGTAGGTCTGATGAATTGGATCATGATTATGATTCCAATGTAATAAATTATAATCATGAAATATTAGTGTTTGAGCTTATATATATATATACTAGCAGTAGAGCCCGGCGTTGCCCGGGGATGTAACAGTAAGAGATAGATCAAGTATCGACCATCATAAAGACTGAAAAATAAAATTGACAAAGATTATTGTTTAAGGTTGACGGACACACATGTCTTAATTAGTTTTGTTGTTTTTTTGTTTTTTTTTACGAATTGGTCAAACCCAAACTCAAACAAAAACATTGTTTTCAATCATTATGAGTCTACCGATTGAATAGAATTTTATTATAAACAATTGTCTTGTAAATGGAATTTTTAAAGCATTCTGAATGTAAAAATAAAGAAAAAAGTGTGCAAGACAATAAGAAATACTACCTGCCAAAAAAAAAGTGGAATTTTTTTGAAATCGGTCGAAAAATGTAGGAAATCTGATCCCATATATAAATGAACACACACACACACACACACACACACACACACACACACACACACACACACACACACACAAACAACTTGGGTTTTATAATAAGTATAACTCGATATGAGTTGTCCCCCTTTCATTCTCGCGATGCCTCTTAATCGTGTTTCCAAATTGATTTTGTGCAAAAACAATTGTGTTTTTCCAATTTTGGGCGCTGTCAGAACCACCAGAAGGTAATTTTATGTAGTCCTGTGAAGTTTTGTTGAAATCAGTTGAAAAATGTAGGAAATCCAATCAAATATATAAATGTATGGACACACACACACACAAACAACCTGGGTTTTATAATAAGTATGATATATATATATATATATATATATATATATATATATATAAAATAAAAGGCTCAAACACTAATATTCCATGGTTATAATTTATTACATTGGAATTGTAATCACAATCCAATTCATCAGACCTACAATTTGGATCATGATTACGATTCCAATGTAATAAATTATAACCATGGAATATTACTGTTTGAGCCTTTTATATTATATTCTTACTCTGTCCTGGACATTGAGTTCTACCTGGATTCTATCGTCTTGGGAATTTATATATATATATATATATATATATATAGATATATTGATCAATAATATTATCTATCTATCTATCTATCTATATATATATATATATATATATATATATATATATAAAATAGCTCACAGTGAGTGCTGGTGGAAGTAATAAGAAAGTGTTCAATGTAAAATAACAGAGATAAAGTTTACACTAATAAATAAAGAATTAATATACATTTGTTCTTCACCATTCAATGCAACTTTGAGTTTCATGCATCTAGCCAATTTCAGATACAAATTAATCTGTGCCTGATGATTGCTACATGCATAAAACACAGGGTTGAATCAAACTGTGAGGTATAAATGTATATTTATTCCTGGTATAAATATATAAATATATTAGAGGACTAAACACGTTGACTAAAATAAGTTTTCTTTTAGTTTCTGTACATATTGTCTTTTTACAGATATATTTTTTAGTTATATCTGAATTTTTACAATACACACACACACACACATATATGTATATGGATGCAAATATCTGTATATTTATACATCAAAATTTATCTATCTATCTATCTATCTATCTATATATCTATATATATATATATATATATATATATATATATATATATATATAACTTCTCCCAACAGACTCTTCCTATTTCAGATATATATATATATATATATATATATATGGCTCATTATTAATATATCCACAAAACACTAATTTAACAGATCTTCTGTACAAACTTAACAACATTGAACCTACAATAGATTTCACTTTTCAAACTGAAACCAACTACACTCTTCCGTTTCTAGATATATTATATATATATATCATATATATATATATATATATATATATATATATATATATATATATATATTTATGTATAAATAATATACATATATACTATATATATTTATACATATAATATATATTATTATATATATATATATATATATATATATATATAATATAAATATCTATGTAGTAGAAATTTCTATATATAATATATATATATTATACATATATAATATACACATTTATATATATATTATATTTATATATATCATATACATATATATATATATATATATATATATATTATATTTAAAATATATATGTATATATATATATATATATATATATATATATATATATATATATATATATATATATATATATATTTATACAAGGATGGATCAGTAAATCTGTAGCCTTGTATGTTGTTCTTAGCTGAAATTTGATCAGAAACTTTCACTGCATAATCTTAATTAATGTGATTAATATTCACTACTGGATTAAGTGCATTGGTACATGGATTATGTAAAATAAATATTTGTAGTGTAAAATAAATACCTTTTTCATCATCAGGCTACAGACTTTCTGATGCAAGCATGTATATAGAATGCAATATTTTTGTGTGTTTTCTCTCCCTTGTGAGTCATGTGCAAATCAATAATTTAATTTCCCATGTAAACGTATTATCCACTAAGTCTATATGAATCATATACAGAGAATCAAAGACTTGTTCTATTCTTCCAGCTATTAAAGATTATAGGTAAACAATTTTCTGATGTAAATTGATATTTACTTACATTTGTCTAGCACAGTGGTCCTCAAAAGTTATTTGGTTGACTACCCTCATAGCTTCCAAAATACAACCCCAGAGCCCTTCTGTTGCATAGATACACATGGGCAAATAACACTGAAAACACTGGTTCTTGCTCACTCACCAAAGTTTCACAGTCGAACACGGTCAGTACTCAGATGAGGGAGTGGTTGTACTGTAAGCAACCTCCTATAATTCTTTATATGTTTCAGCTTTAAATGACTCACAAAGGGTTGGTAAACTGTAAAATAAAAACAAATTAATCAATCAATTTCACACAATGAATACACAACCTTTCATGGTATTGAGTTCACTGCAAATTTAAAGCAACTAGTCTAACACTTGAAGTCAGCTGAAAAGTCCATAGGCTGAACAAGATACTCTCATGGAATCTGATCAAATGAGGTTTATTTTTAATATAGTCCCCCTTGTGGCCCACACACTTCTTCCAGGGTTGCAGTGCTTGGATCTCATTAGTGAAGAACCTTTTATCCTGTCAATTAAAAAAGTCATCAACAGTAGATATGACATCATTATCACTGTGATACTGGTTTCTAGTCAAGTGTTTTTCATGTTGGGAAACAGATGATAGATAGGGCCAAATCAGGAGAATAGGGAGAGTGATCAACCAGTTAGAAGCTACAGTCATACGCAACAGCCATTGAAACCAACTACTTGTGTGCTGGAGTATTCTGATGAAACAAGACCTCTATCATCTGTTTTCCTTTGGTCTTGATAGTCTTTCATAATTACCTCAGTTAGTTAGCATAGTAATCTCCATTGATGATGTGGCTCTTTTGAAGTTATTCAATGAACATTATGCCTTTTGCACCCTAAAAATCTGAGATCATCACCGTCGTGGCATATGAAATGACTTTGGCATTCTTTGGAGCAGATGAGCAGTGGGGTTTCCACTGCATAGATTGACTCTGGCTTGAAGTAATGAACCCAACACTTATCCTTGGTTAAGAAACCAGCTAGATTTGCCTCAAACAATGTCAGATTTTCCAGTGATGTGATTTGCCTGGTGATCAGGTGTCAGAAGACGTGGCACCCACCGAGCAGAAACCTTCATCATGTCAAGTTCATTATGCAGAATATTCTCAACTCTCTCTCTCACAGGATATGCTAATAACATTGGCTATTTGATTTATAATCAATTTCCTGTCTGGGTCATCTTCAAGACTATTCCTTCTCCTCTTAAATTCAGCTGCCCACTTTCGCACTGTTGATAAGACTAAAATTTCATCCCCTAACATAACAATCATGTCTGCATGAATGTCCTTAGGGGCTAAACCTTTTTCAATTTTTGTCAATTATTTACATTATTTGGACTATTGTCCTCATCTTTGTCGCCATATTTATTACAACGTTTCGGCCATTCTTCAGGTGGTTGGAATGTTGAACTGAACCCCAAGGACACATGGCACAGTGGATAAAGGCATTGGTTAGATCCAGTGACAGAACCCAAAGAGTGTGAGTTCAATACCTGGCTAAGGCAGTGGAGAACTTTCAGAGGGAAAATTAACAGGAGATAACTGATAACTGACATCCATTAAACATGGCACATGGAACTAGAACAGTCTACCCCAGTGAGCGAAATAAAGGGTTCAGTTTGACATTCCAACCACCTGAAGAAGGCTGGAGCGTACAACGGCTAAAATGTTGTAATAAAGATGAGGACAATAGTCTGAATAATGTAAATAATATACATAATACCTCATCTCAGAAATATAGACAGATAATGAGATGTCAATTTACCTGAAAAGAAACAATGCAGTTATTAATAAGAAGAGTTGAACTTAATGCATGTGAGATTTCACAGCTCCATTTCTTCATAGTCAGCCTATGAACTTTTTAGCTCACCCTCATAGGCACCTGGTCAAGTGGTTAGAAAATTCACTTTCTGACCATGAGACCTAGGTTCAAATCTTCCCATGGTCAATTTTGTCCAGAAAGTCACTTCTTGATGCTATTAGCCTGGGGACCACATATTGGTCTAAACCTTTTGAGTGAAACTGGATAAACAAAATGGTTTGCAAGTCATGTGCTAGTATAAAGGCACAAGTCATCGTGACCAATGTTGTGTGTGTACTGTCCTTGTTCAAACTGTTGAACATACGAGATTATGTGCTTTCTCTCCTTGAAACTGTAGCTAAGATCTGCTCAACATAGTTGCAGTATAAATCACAGGTGGACTCTGTAGGTGTTGAACAAACACAAATGTGCTTGAGCAGACGCCTGCAACAGGGATTGGCTTGCTACCCTAGTAGATACTTGTACTTGGAAAGTAATAGCCGGCCATTATTATTATTAATCTAGTAAGTATACATGGAGTAATCAGTAAGGAGGCGTGGTGTAGTGAGGCTATTCTGATTGATATTACAACTGAGTAGTGAGTTTGATCCACACTGGGTGGCCTATACAAAATTTAACATTAAATAATCCAACAAAGGTTGGAATGTTGTAAGGTCAACCAACTAAAACCTTGACCCTTGCAGATATGAAAACGAGATAATCATTAATTATCAATTCCTCATCTCACAAATCATTACAAGTGTAATTAGTTCAATCCTCATTGGCTTTATTTTTTTTAAGAGTTTCACTTCACAAGGCAGGAAGCCACTAGCATGCAAGGGGTTAAAGAGAGTTGGAGCGAGAGCAAAGAGGAGTGATAGAAGAAAGGATGAAGAGAAGGATAGGGGATAGATCAGGGCATCTAGAGACATCGATTGACATTACATTTGAATAGTTGGATATTATAGCTATCAGGAAAATAGGAAAAGGGGAGGGAGTTCCACAGGCGAGAGGTGCAAGAAAGAAATTTGGGTCACTAACACACAAAAAAGAGAATGTCTCAGATCGAGAATATTTAACATCAAAAAACATAAAGAAAAAAACTAATTATTTTTAATATGTGGAAATCTCCACCCTTTGCCTGATGATGGTCGTGAGACCAGAAGCATGTGTAGCAAAATTATGGAAAATAAAGCATAATATTTTTTTTTAAAAATCCATATTAGAACCAAAAACGTTTGTGGTTTCTCTCTTCTTTTTAATATAAATATATATACTAGCAGTATAACCCATCTTGACAAGCTTTCTAACAATTACACCACACTGAGGTGCCCAATATATATATATATATATATATATATATATATATACTAGCAGTATAACCCATGTTTGACTGGGTCTTTTATTACCGGGAATTTTTGCCGTTCAATTGGAGTAGTTTAAGTTTAAAGTCAGCCAGCTCAAAAATCAATATTAGTAACAATAATTGGGTGCGACTGAGGCACATCCTCAAATGAGGGGTTAACAATTTGAATGGGTGGGGTGGCCCTGAAAAGGGAACTGCATAATAATAAATAATATTATTGTAATAATTTAAAGTGTTTATTTTTATTAAAGTTTTTATGAAAGATATATATCCAAGAAGAGATAGTAAATAGTAAAATGTTGCTGAGAGTTATAATGGACAAGAAGTAGTGGAGAGCCATTGTCGCTAACAATTTGGATTCAAAACTGGCACTGAAAGCAAACAAAAAAATTCATCAAAATCAGATGAAAACAGTAGAAATGCATAAACAACATCTGATCACACGCACACATACATTTTGAGAATTATAGATATAGATAGAATTAACAGAAAGCTATGCATGAAAACGTTTTATTTTATTTTGTGGTTGCAAGAAAACAGTTTGAATACTTATTGTATCTGTGTAATATTGTCTGGGGTAGGATATACACCACATTTTAGTGCATCAGACAGCAATTAATATGAAAATTGCTAAAAATCTCCATATTGGCTTTATTCAATAAAATATTTTTAAGTGAAAACCACTGTCTATATATATATATATATATATATATATATATATATATATATATATATATATATATATAAGGGAGATGTTATAGTTGTTCCAATGAGAGAAAAGTGTATATATTAAAAGAAAAGAGAAACCATAAACGTTTTGGTTTTTAGGTGTATTTTTTAAATATATAACATACTTTATTTTGTATAAATATTTATATTCCATTAAATATTCTTTTAATATATATATATATATTAACAGACATGCATATATATACATATATATGCACATATCTATATATCTATATATATATATATATATATACACATACATATACACTTTCTAGTGTAAAATGATGAGATCTAATAACCAATCTAGTAATATGTTTAAATTTAATTTAAATTCCTAGCAAAAGACTTAGCAATCGATTCAATATAATCACTCTATTTTATGTCAGTGGAAAGCATGAGACCAAGAAGATGCAAAGAGTTGCTCTTTTGGAGGTTAGCATCAGCCATGCTGATGGAAGGCTAAAATAGTTCTCTAAGATGATTAAATGATAGCAGTTTCATTTTTGTTTTTAAAATTTAAAAACCATTTCTTGCTCCAATTAACAACTGATTGGAGGTCAGTTTCGAGAGCTGCTGCCTGTTCTACTTTGTCTGATCTACTGGACTTACTATTAAGACAAGAGTAAAATGTTATGTCTTCAGTATAAATACCATGCTGGAAAGTGATGACATCAGGAAGGTTGATGATGAAGATAAGATGCAACATATGTTTGAGAATAGAACCTGAGGGACACCCACATGAATGTGAAAGGATCTAGATGAGTGGCCATTCAAGGTGACTTTCATTACAGGATTTGCTAAAAATGATTGGATTAAGTCAAATATTTGGCCAGAGACACCATAAACCTTGAGCTTGGGAAGAAGGTCAGCATGGCAAAGCCTATCAAATGCCTTCAAGCCTCATTTTTCTTATCTAAAGCTTAATAGACAAATTCAGTAATAATCATTATGATGTTGGTGATTGACCTAGAGAAGCAAAAGCTATATTGTTTCTAGTAAAGTATTTATTTATATTATTTTCATTTGGACTTCTACAAAATACAGGAAAAAAACACTATGCAATTATTTCATAGGCCCTCATTGACCAGCAAGACTTAAAATATCAGATTTTGTGAAAAAAAAATTAAAGTGGTGGCTCACTTTTTGTTACAGAAAATATATCTGATGTATGGGTAGTATAACAGCTATCTGCAGAATGTGAAATTTTTTTCATCATTCCACTCTTATCGATCTATCTATCCCATTCTGTTTCTATCTATCTATCTATCTATCTATCTATCTATCTATCTCCATCTGTTAGTCTGTTTCTATCTATCCATCCCAGTCTGTTCATATTTATCTGAGTCTATTCCTATCCATCTCTTACCCTGTTTATATCTATCCCAGTCTGTTCTTATCTATCTATCTATCTATCTATCTATCTATCCCAGTTTGTTCATATCTAAATCTATTCATATCCATCTTTTAGTTTGTTTATATCTAGCCCAGCCTGTTCTTATCTATCTATCTCAGTCTGTTCATATCTATCTATCTATCTATCTATCTATCTATCTATCTATCTATCTATCTATCTCAGTCTGTTCATATCTATCAACATGTATCTATCTATTGCAGTCTGTTCATTATCTATCTATCTATCTATCCTAGCCTGTTCATATCTATCAACATGTATCTATCTATCCCAGTCTGTTCATATCTATCTATCTATCTATCTATCTATCTATCTATCTATCTATCTATCCCAGTTTGTTCATATTTAAGTCTATTCATATCCATCTTTTAGTTTGTTTATATCTATCCTAGCCTGTTCATATCTATCTATCTATCTATCTATCTATCTATCTATCTATCTATCCTAGACTGTTCATATCTATCAACATGTATCTATCTATCCCAGTCTGTTCATATCTATCTATCTATCTATCCTAGCCTGTTCATATCTATCAACATGTATCTATCTATCCCAGTCTGTTCATATCTATCTATCTATCTATCTATCTATCTATCTATCTATCTATCTATCTATCTATCCCAGTTTGTTCATATTTAAGTCTATTCATATCCATCTTTTAGTTTGTTTATATCTATCTATCTATCTATCTATCTATCTATCTATCTATCTATCTATCCTAGCCTGTTCATATCTATCAACATGTATCTATCTATCCCAGTCTGTTCATATCTATCTATCTATCTATCTATCTATCTATCTATCTATCTATCTATCTATCTATCTATCTATCAAAAGATGATAAAAAGATAACCTTTGAACATAGAGGAAACTTTTAGATGAAAATAATACATGCTAACATGTATTGACCCCATTGATAGTATGCAAGAAATGGACAAATATGTACTGAAACCGCAAAAGTGATTTTAGAGAAAGACACTTGCATGACGTCATTTTGTAATATGATCAGACCGTTAAGTATGAGTTATTGATTGCTAAGCAGCTTACTTCTGAATATAATCTAAGAATTGTTGTCATTGATATAAGATAGTATCTAAGCAGAGAAAAAGAGAGAATGATGGATAGAGAGGGGGCAGGGTGAAAGAAAGAAGAGAATGTATAGCATTCAAATGAAATAGTTGTAGTATTACTAGTGGCTGTTTTAGGTGTTGTCGAACAAAGAGTTAAAGTATTTTATAGTGTTAGCATTTAAAATTCATTTTTTTCTTTTATTATGCAAACAGAATACCTACTGAGATTACAAGTGAGTTTAGCAGCATCTTATACTGTATAATATCATTTTATGTCAAGACATATATATATATATATATATATATATATATATATGACATGACATAATGATATATAATTCTATATATCAAGAAACAGTATTGAGAAAATAGTATGACAAAATAGAAAAAAGTTTTGTGATGCATTTCATCCGCTGAAATCCTAACAGATGAAACGTGCTACAAAAAGTTTTTTTTTCCTATCTGTCATACTATTTTCTCATATATATATATATATATATATATATATATATATATATATATATATATATATATATGTATGTATGTATAAAAATATGTTTCAGACATGAATGCAATCTTCATGGTTGAAACAGACTGTCGCCACTTGGTATTGACCTCAGTGTCTCTCTTTCCTTCTCTCTCTCTCTCTCTCTCTCTCTCTCTCTATATATATATATATATATATATATATATATATATATATATATATATATAAGTAAAATGTTTATCACTTAGCTGATTGATGTTACCTTCAGTATTGCCACTTCAGAGATTCATAGACAGACCTGTCTGTCCACTCTCACAGGGGGTATCAGCAACTGATTGCTTATACTTCTTGATTTTTCATTTTTATATTGTTACGAACTTGTAGCATATAGATGAACCACGGGTTTTAAAAAAAAAGGAAAACGTGGGATCCTTTCTCGGTCTTCACTCAGAAATGGAAGCGGCACAAGGGAATCAATGAAGAACAGACACAAGACGATGGATTTCAAAATAAAACATTTTTTATAAATATATATAACGAAATAAAGAAAGAAAAAAAAGAACATTCATTTAACAAAGGGGGAGGACATCATTAAAGAATAGAAGGTGCGAGCGAATACATACATATATGAAAACAGATCAAGCCAAACAAATCAACTTATCTTGCAGTCGGGTTGATATCTTCACATAAAGTTTTGATTCGCCGAAGTGAGAGTTCTGATGATAAAACAATATCTTGGCCAACCGACAATGTTCCTGGATTCCTTTTCTTTTCACAAGTGTTCGAGGGTCCACAGCATTTCATACAGGCGTTTGGTTGGGTCGATCAGTTCCGTAGCAGTCCTTTCACCACTAGTCGACAGACTTTGCTGTCTTCCTCATCTCAGTGGGTGGTCTGACGATTTTTGCCCAGCGACGTTCCACTGCCGCTGGTCAGAGGGAAACTGAAAAATCCTTTTTTTTTGGTTTTCGCTGTCCCCAAAGACAGTCACATGGGTTCCCTTCGTCCTTGACCGGGTACGCAGGAGGATAGGGCACAAATCACGCAGTGCTTGTGTGATGGCCAAAAGTTCAACACATGCTCAGTACGTTCCGATCACATGAATCACAGCAGGAGACCCTGATGGTGCCTGGAATTCACTTATGGTCAGCTGCCTGATAGCTGCGAAATCTTGGAACCAGGTCACTCTTGCGTCGGGTCACTTCAAAGTTCACGGGCCCTTGGCTCGTGGGTGGAAGAGAGGATAAGGAGAGAAAGAATTTGTGAAGAGAAAGGAAGGTGTATGGCTGATCATAGAATATATTCGCTCGCAAGTCGAAAACATTGGATTAAATTTCTATTTTTATTTATTAATTTATTTATTTATTTATTTTTCTTTTATATCTAACTAATTTTCTCTTTATTTAAGATTTTACTTTAGCCTAACGCCTATATGGTTAATGAAATTGTGGCTATGTGACAATATGCACTTATCATTTGTGTATGTTTTTCATAGTGTGTGTGTGCGTGTGTGTGTGTGTGTGTGTGTGTGTGTGTGTGTGTGTGTGTGGTGTTTGTGCATGTGCCCCCACGCACTTACCTACATAGATGTGCGTATGTGTAGGGTGTCATGATTATTTGGCCTTTTTGTCATTTTTTTCCCCACTTTACACTCACTGTTTACTGTTTTTTCTTTTTTTCATGTCTTTTCTTTTGTCACCATTTGTTGCTATTTGATTTCTGTTTTGTTTTTTTTAAATGTTGTCATTTTTAATTTTTGAGCGTTCTATTCTTTTCTTGAGTTAGAAAATTTGTATTTCGTTTTATACATAAATAATTGATTTTATAATGCTTAAATGATAGAGTAAATATTTATATATATCTTCACTTGGCTATTATTTCATTTTCTTATTTGGTTTGGTGGTATCTTAAGTACTACTAAAATATTAATTGTAGGAAGTGAGGTTTATATTTAAATTTTTATTTATTATTGTTTGAATTTATGTGCATATGCCTGTATTTATATGCTTGCACACATGCAAACACATACATGTATATATGTACATATCGATATGCACACATGAACATAAACACACATACAAACATGTAACCTCATACATTATGAAATGGACAAAGTCCGACAATTATTTTAAGACATTTTATGTTTATACATTCTTTTTATAGATACAAATATTTAAGTAAATTCTCTGTTTATAATAAACATTATTAAACAACATTTACCGGCCTGAATGTTTGAAAAATTTTCATAGAAAATATTTGTCCTCTGACAGGTTTCAAACCTGTATCCTATACAGAACCGTCATATAGCCTGACATGCCTTTTAACTGATTCAGCCACAGAGGCGTGTTCGGTTAGCAAGGTCGAATTTACTGCTTTTAAATTTCAATCATCCATGAATCTCTCACGTACATTCATATCTGCTCATGGTGTATCAAATGTAAACAAATGACATCACACATTATGAAATGGACAAATTCTGACAATTATTTTATGACATTTTATGTTTATACATTCTTTTTATAGATACAATTATTTAAGTAAATGCTCTGTTTATAATAAACAGTATTAAACAACATTTACCGGCCTTATATTATTATAAACAGAGCATTTACTTAAATATTTGTATCTATAAAAAGAATGTATAAACATAAAATGTCTTAAAATACAAACATGTGTACACAAGGACATGTACACTTGTGTTTTTTCTTTGTCATTAATAAATCATGTTATGTCTCCTTTGCATGATGAAATTAGCTTTCTCAGGACTTGCCACTTTGTCTTTCTTATACCACATCTTTTCATTTGTTTCATTGTTAATGGTGATCTTATTTGTCTACCCATTAACACAGATGGGTTTTGCAATCTGTCTGCATGTGGAATCATCCTATAATTAAGCAGTAACCTTGCTAAGTAACCATCTATAGTATCTCTACTTGAGGAAAATGCTTTTAATCCCATTTTTACTGCCTGGACCATTCTTTGATGATATGGTTTTGTTTTGTAAGGGAAGCAGTCAACCTGTCTTAACCAATTACATAGACTTTCATCGCAAAATTCTGGTGTGTTGTCTGATACCAATGTTTTAGGGAATCCATTTCTAGAAAATACCAATCTAAGTATTTGTTTTGTAAAGGAAGCAGTCAACCTGTCTTAACCAATTACATAGACTTTCATCACAAAATTCTGGTGTGTTGTCTGATACCAATGTTTTAGTGAATCCATTTCTAGAAAATACCAATCTAAGTATTTGTTTGATTGTAGTTGTTTTTCTATCTTTAACTTTAATGACCTTCAGGCCATCTCGAAAAGGTCTACTAAGATTAGGAATGATCCTACACCCCCCTAATGTGAGCATGGTTTATATGAACACGTGACCATGGTTCCTTTTCTTTAGGCCTTGAGGGTAGTCTCTTTTGCCAAAAATCTTTTATTTCTGCACATTTTGGTACATTTGTATACATATCATTCTATATCACAATAATACCCTGGCTGCCATGCCTTCAATTTTAATCTCCTCTGTGTAGCCATTATCCCACAATGCACGTCATCATGTATACTTTTTAAAATAACTCTTTTTACTATTTCTGGTGGTACTATCACATCTCCATTGCATATAAAATCATTTTCCTCTGTTAATTTATGCCTTCTTTCTTTATAAGGTCTTTCAGCTTTAGAACAATTAATCCACCTGTCTCTTGCTTAGGGTTAAAAATAAATTCTACAGGTTTATGGTCTGACTTTAATAGAAAATTCTTATGCAAAAATATTTGTCAAGCTCTGTCTTTGCTCTAGGCAATGGCCAATACCTCGTTTTCAATACTTGAATAATTTATTTCTGCTGCCATCAATCCTCTTGAAAGGTACATTATTATATGGCCTTCTTATGAAAGAATTGCTGACACAGTTCTTTTCACTCATGTCTCTAGTTAAAGTAACCTCCTTTTAGGTGATCAAAAATTTTTACAATGGCTCAGTCAGTTATGTGTCATATGTGATACACACTTAGGCGATTATGTATCTTTCAAAACATGACTGACGAGGCAGTAGGTTACCATTTCTTTCTGCAGTAGACCAGTTGTGATCTAACGCTAGAGAACCTAGTCTGTCCTGCTACTTACCTATACCTGGAGGGAGAATAGGAGGATTCATACCTTTCCCAAGGTTATTAGCATGTAAGTGAATATAATGGTGATTGAGCATATTATATTGTATTGAATGAATGGGTTGCGATTGTGATTGACTAGGATAGTTACTAAGGTCCAGCCTTCTCCCTCCTCCCTTTGGCCTTCTGCCAC